CGGGGCCGGGGCCGGGCGTTGGATTCCCCCCCGTCCCCCGGAGGGGAGCTCGTTGTCAGCGGCACTTTAAGCACTGAAACAAGCATAAACCACGCGATGGGTGTTTGTGCCACCTGCACATCCACGTAACGTGGCTGCAGCCGCCAGCCGCCCCCTCAGGATTGACGAGGTTTTACCCGCCTCTGCCCTCACCACAGCGAGAGAATCCGGTTGGTTGGAAAAAGACCTTGAAGAACGCTGCTAAAAACGACAACGTGGTTAGGAAAAGAAAACCGTCCCTTTATTTACAGTGCAGCTGCTTCACGAAGAGCTACAAGGTTCATCTGCAAAGTGCTACATCAGAAACGGGGGTTCGAACACAAGATGAGGAACAAGAAGTCTTACTGAGGTTCAGGAATCATCAGGCCGCCTCCCGTTTTACTTAGCACTAAAAACCACACGTGTTTTACCAGGTGGTAAAGATGCTCTAATCACTCCTGGGCACTAAAACCGAATCGATGCGGGAAACACCCTGAAGAGCTCTTCACAGAGCACCAAATACAACAGCAAACCCCCAAGCAGCAGGGAAATCATCCGTTTCTTTCACACCGGCATTTCTAGAACTATCCAGGACTGGTTTGGGAAGAATTTGTCACTTTTGCAACGTCTTTACACGTCTGTTAGAAACTCTTGGTGGAAATCAAACCATTTCTAAGGGTACATACTGGTGAGCAGTGTCCTAACGCAAGATACGGCAGCCAAGGCATGGTAGCTTCAAGCCTACAGAACCACCTGGTAATGGACCACACCGGCACAACATGACATTAATCTGATTTCTCACCAGTGGCCACTACCACCACAGTGGAGCACTCCCAGAGCTTCCTGTAAGTGAAACACCCAAACCCACCCCCTTCACCTTGACTTAATAACAGGGTCATTATACAGCATCATCTAGATACACCCTTTTTATTCCAGTGTTTCCGTACTTTCTACAGACCTATGTACAGAGTTAAATACGCCATTGATTTACAAACCATGTTAAAACAAACATTCCACCTTGCCAAACAAAATCTCACAGTAAAATATATATTACAACAGTATCAGAAACTTCTTTACCTGAATGGGGGCAATATTGCTTAAGGACTTGGACTGAGGTACTCAGTGAAACCACCTCTTCTAACTAATTCACTTCACCGTTTTAATTACACGTTCCTGCACACAAAATGATCCCTGTTTCGTGCACACTGTCAGGCAAGCTCCAGGGAAGAGATTCACTCTCCAGGCCTCAGACGATACCCTCGTTTTGGGTCAGACCCTTTTTGCCCTGCATGTGCAGTGGGTACGAGCCTTCTCTGCAAACAGTTGCAAAAAAGATCTGGTTGTGTTCTTTAACAGGAACTCATCTAAATGTATTTAATAAAGCCTCTGCTCTGTGAATAAAGTACGTGGAGCTTTATTCCATCCAACAATTCAAGTTGCCTGAAAGCAGTACAGCGACAGACATGCCAGAAAATGCACAGATGAACTCAGAGGATGCCTGTACATCCCTGGGACCCCCACTGCTGCCTGCTTCTGGTATCTCACCCCACTGTGAAGAAGGGAAGAACCATCTCCACTTTCCAAATGGGAAACTGAGGCAGAAAGATGACAATTAAGCGTCTGCAGGAGTTCGGTATTTTACAGCTCTCTCCCTTTGCGAGCAGTTGGAGAACTTCAGCCCCTCTTAAAGACCTCAGCCTAAATATCTTGTCCTCAAATCAGCCTTTTGCAGAGCCAGAACCAAATCCAAACCCAGAGTCCACACAATCCTTTTTGCACGTATGTAAAAGCACTTAAATATTGGCAAGTGAGCCTTAGAAATACACATTTTGCACTTTCCCTTATTAAAAAGAAATCATTATACATAAATCCATATTGGAACAGGCAAAAGCAGTTTCATCTGAAAGAATGCTTTTCCTCATTATCCTGTTCTTGTTAACCTGGGTTAGGAAATAGTTTATTTTGATTTCCTAAACTAAAAGCCCAAGTTCTGAGCTGGCATGAACAGATTCAACACCAATCGAGTCAGGGAGGTTCTGCTCACAAGCATTAGCAGCATATTTAACCCACCTCTGAAGTTTCAGAAAGGACCATTTCCTCTTTTGGACTGTGTGGTGGAAGGCAGGTTCCATAATTACCTCCACAGTCAGCCAAAAGAATAAGATCAGGTTGACTCTGCACTTAAAAACAAATTCTTTATTATCCAGAAAGGAGCCAAATCATCATCTTACATCATGAAAAATTTTAAAGCAATAAATAGATGGAGTGTCCTGTACAACACCCTAGATTTTGTCACTGGTGCCTAATACCTCTCTAGTACAAACATTGTACTTAATGCTATTAAAACTCTCACTGTACAACAGCTTTTCTGGTAAGAAGGCCCTAAAATCTCCTTTTGCTAAAGTACTAAGAACCTGATTCAGTGAAACCCATGTCACCTGCTTTTGTTCCTTGCATGCACAAATGCAGTGTCTGACACACAACAATCAACTTGTCTCGAATTAATTCATTTCTACCAACTGAATCAGTTCTTCCTAACCATAAATTAACTCTTTAATGCTGATTTAAATACTTTTTTCTTAATAAGTTACTATCTGAGCTAGGGGAGTTGCAGGACGCACAATTGAACTTCTTTCAGTGGAAAATGGAAGTCAGGCTAAACGCACCCAGCAACTCCAACAACAGTAGTTAAGGAACTTAAAATAGAACAATTAGGGGCTAAAAAAACGGACCTGAGAAACAACCCAAATGATTATTCAAATGAATGCATTCATAATATATGAAGCATATAAGAGAACATGATTCAAGCATAAGGCTGAGAAGAAAACACCTTAAACCTTTCAATTTCTAAAGCAACAAAAGAGTCTTGTAAGAACAGGTATGAAGCAATTAAAAAAATAAATCATCTTATTCCAAACACTTTATTTGTGAAGGCGTTTTCTGTATTGCCAAGAGCAAGTTCTGAAGTTACAGGATGACATTATTCGGGAAGCAATGATCAATTTAAGCTCTGTTTGTTTGTTATCTACAGTGAGTGGACAACAGTGATTTTAGAGACTTCTGTTTTGCTGTGCCTCAAGCCTGCTTTTTGAAGAGATCAAATGTTCTACTGTCAACTCTTTCAGAAACACTTTTGGTTCATCATCAAAAGCAGAAGGCAGAGGTGCAGGAGTAGTTAATACCCACGTGAAGTTTGGTAGTTGCTCAAGATGAATTCAGGCCTACCCTATCTGCAACTAAGTCGATCCTTCTCAAACAGACAAATCCTGATAACCAGAAGTTCCATTTCTTTATGGAAGTTTCATTAAAAGTGTCACTAAACCGTATGAGAGAACAAATCAAAGGTGATGTTACCAGCGTGGAAAGAAAACACTGGCCAGAATTCAGCTGCCAAAAGAACCATCGGTTGACAGGCTCTGAAAAGGAGCAGCAACAGCAGGTATTTTACTCTGAAGTTACGTACGTGCATTCGCCGGGATCTCTGTACAAGAGCTACAACGTGTGTTTAGTTCCAGTGTCAGATGGAGCTGTTTCACGTCCAAGCTCTGCTCAGCAGAAGTTGAAGGTCTGTACCGCTTTCACTACACATGCATCTTCTCTTCTGCAAAACCTGTACAATAAAATGGCTTTACATTCATGGATGTACTAAAAAGTTTCTGATAATGTTGGGGACACTCTGATATCACAGTCTATACCTGTTTGCCAGGACTCTATATATCAAAACGATTTAAGTTGTAGGAAGTTGGATAGTTTTGCCGGTTATACTGGAAGTGGTCTGTTAAGATATTGGTTCGACCATACTGATAGTCTCCGTGTGGTGCAAACGCTGTAAGTCCATTCTGAGACTTCTCGGGAGTGTTTCGATGCCGGTCCAGGTTCACAAGGTCTCCAGTTGTAACTGGAAGTAACTGTTTCTTTGCTTCTTGGTTTGCATCATATTTTGTCTAGGAAAGACAGAAAGTTTTTCTTAGACACCACCTATTGTATTCATATACCTAGCAGGAAGCATCTGGTTTTACAATGACACTACTACCTATGCCTGTTAAGGGTCTACTAGTGGCTTCTAACAAAAACCTCATTCCTCTCACAAGCCAAATCAATAAGCTGCTCTTTTGCTGAAGAGCTCCGAGTATGTTACTTCCCAATCTTCATTTGTCAGGAGAATATGAAGATCAAAATTCACATTGTTAGAGGCCCAGCAGCTGGCCTCACCCAATCACCCACATACTTTGCTTTGGTGACACTCAGACCTCCTTGCAATGAAGTTTTATGCCACACATTCTGTGTGTCTGTTCTCCTAGCAAGTTACCTGTGCTACAAAGCTACTGGACTGTGTCAAGTGAGTTTCCTGAATAAACCCCCTTACCTTGTTATACAAGAAGACCCCTAGGATGGCTGTCATCATCCCGAGGACGTTGGTGCTCGTAACCGGATTGCGAAGCATTATAAGGGACACTGTGATGACCATGATTCGTTTGGTGGCATTTGCAACAGAGTAACTTAGTGGGCTGATCAGGTTCAGGATACTGAAGGCAATGACATTCTGGGCAAAGTTACAGAATCCACTGATAATAAGCAGCATCAAGGTCCAGGACCAGTGAGACATCGTGCTCTGGTATAAAGACAAACATTACAAGGGAAAAAGTTATCTCGGGTTGCAGATAAGAGACGAAGAAACACAAATACAACTTGAGTCATTTCTTACTTGCCCCCGATAGGAAGAATGTCTGCAACTTAACTCTAAAGAGGCACCCAAGTACATTACAGCTCCTGACTTTGCAAGAACCTCTCCACATCCCTGCGACACCCACTCAGGTGCATTCGTTCCTCTCTCCAGCTACTGATTCCTGAGACTTAAACCATAACGTGAGCTGCCTCTAACCCTGATGTGAATTCTTACAATCAACACAACGCTTATTTTTTAAGACTGTTTGGTGAAACAGTTTACAAACGTTTCACAACAGTTCCACACTGAGGAGGAACTACACTGGAACACTTAAGGGCGCTTGTTCTGCTTGAGTGATGGTGTGTGTTGTTTTTGTTTTCTTTTTCTCTTTTCTTTCCTAACAGGGAACAGTTTCGCTGTTAATACAACACTTACCAAGTCATTCTCTACTAAGAAGGAAGAAAGATCTACCAAAACCCACGTTGGGATCATGAAGAACACAGCATGGCACCCGAGTATGTTCAGCAACCGAAGATGATGTATTCGGGAATCTCTTAACACCTAACAAAAACCATTATTAAACATGATGTTAGCCTTTCCTCAGCGGCCACCCATGCTATCAGCAGAGACTCAGGAGCAGGGTAACAGTGACAGCTTTAGATGACAGATAAATGATGGAAACAGTTAAATACTGTTACAGCAGGAATTTTCTGTAAGGATTACTAAAGAAAACCAGACATGCTGTGGAGTAAAGAAACGGCTCAGGAAACTCTTGAGTTCTGCCCAATTTTCAGTGTAACAGCTTCAACAGGTTCTACAGAGCTGTAGAGAACAGGCAGACAGAACAGCCAGCTGTTACCTGGGGCTCCTTCGACTGTAAAGTTAACTTAAAAAGATACATGAACTGGAAAATACAGTCCTTCTGTCCTGCTAAAGGCTGTGGCTGCTGCCCCATGTGATGAACAGCAAAACCCTCACCTTCTTCGAGAAGATGTTCTGAAGTGAGAAACACAGCGTAGCAGCAAGTGCGCTGATGAGCCCCCACATGTCAAAGGAAAGCTCCGTGACAGTGGCCAACAGGACACCGGTTATTATGGGGATCAGAGACAAGTACACCTGGAAGAGGAACAGAGAGGAGCACCTTACACCCATGAACTTTCATTACCATTATGTTTACACAGAATGCTGATGTGGGGAGGAAAGGAGAAGGAAGAATAAAGCGACAGAACCAGGGGTCAAATTTTATACTCTTGGAATTCAAGGAATTTCTTCCCTGGGAGGGTGCTGAGGCGCTGGCCCAGGGTGCCCAGAGAAGCTGTGGCTGCCCCATCCCTGGCAGTGTTCAAGGCCAGGTTGGACACAGG